ACATGGAGAGTCCACCTAGTGGAGTTGGAAAACCCTGATTGCAACTCAATGGTGCACATGGGCTGGCTCCCGTATCCTGAGCGAACAAATGGCGTATGAACGAATCGTTGGTCACCGGCTACCATGGGACTGCATCTCCTCACGATGCTCCATTGCCTTGTGGATCGAAGGCTCCGGGTGTGGCCCGCCGAGGAAACCACCTGCTTCGGTTTGGGCACCCGGGCAGTATCACAGCCCTCACACATATCAAATGAGATCTGTGTAGCGCATATCTATTTGGTGCCTCCTTGTACCAATATTTATGTGTTAAAATAAATAAATAATAAATAAGTGGTTTAGATTGTTTTTTTCTGGTTGGCGTCTTTTAGTAAGATTATTTTCTATGAAATGAGGTTGCTGACTTCATGTCCAACCCCCTCTCATCCGGGCTAAGGATCGGTAGTAACCCCAGAAAGCCTATTGTCGTAGTGGGATTTGACATGTATAGAACCATTAAAATAAATCTCTCTCAGTAGATTGGCATTCTTCTAATCCCTCGGTATCATATTGCCACATGAAATGTCGGTCATTTTAATCAAACTTCGTCTTCATGTCACGGAATATGTTTGGAGTTGTATTTCGTAAGGGTCATTTTCCAGTCTCACAAGTTTTCACAAGTTGTTTTAATTTGTTTGAACTTTGTGGAACTCATGTGACATCTATGTTGCGTTTTTTAAGTACCTAGGCATAAAAGAATTTGATTATATACTGTCGTTTTAATATGGATATCATCTTTACAGTTTTGGTCCTATTAATTTAAATCAACGATAACTAGATGTAGAATATTGTTCTCGGTAGGTTCTCATTAACGTACATTAGTCAAACTGGTTCCTTTCATAACTGAAATGCTTATTGATTTAATGTGTTCAAGGTTTACCATGGTAGCAGAAGCTGTGGAAGATGTTTCTTTTGTACACAAAACTCTAATCTTTCAATGTGAATAGCTTCTGCTGTTTCAAGGATTTTAAGTCTGATAGATTTTGGCCGAAAATTACTAACATTACAATCTGCGGGGAACGATTGATGTGCACTGCTAATATAACCCGTTTGAATTGAATGAGGTAGTAAGGTAATGAATCTTCGTTAACTGCGGTGGCTTGAACATATTTGACTCATGTTCAACCACTGTCTACGCCGATAAGTGATATGTTATGTAGGAACAGGTTGGAAGAAAGCTAGGGGCTGCTAAACTTATGTATGGCATCATTCGATGTGGTCACTGATTGTCGGACCTAGTCATGTAGTTAGGTGTAGACTATCTAGTTAGGTACAGTGTGGTTATCGTAACCATTGGTAGAGATGTTACATAAGATGACTTAGGATCGATGGCATTGGGACAGATGCACTCACTCGTCTTTTTTTTTCTCAGATCTTGATTCCCACAATCTTATACTTTCTTTATGTAATCTTTTTTATTACCATTGATGCTGTTAGTATTCCTACCACTCTGGGATATGACTGAGTAATTTTTTCTGGGTATTTCAATGTAGTGTGGGAATGTGAATCGATGTACATGTATATCAGATTTCATGTTGCATATAACTGACTGACTGAAGTGGAAAAGTATTTAGCTGAAATTTTTCACTGAAGTAAAAAAGTGAATCCCCAAAACATTTGCTAGTGTAACTTGCTTCACATGATGAAGTGAGCGGATAGATATAAAAATCGTGGCTAGTTTAGGCAATTTATCTCTCAGTCTGGGTGTTACCGCCGAACGGATAGAAAATATTAGTTGTGGTGTTCCCACGTCTAACATTTCTTAAATTGTTCTGCATAACCTCGTAATTAAAATTTCTCCGGGTACGTTACCTCTAAATAGCAGGTGCATAAATAGCTCATAGCGTTCCAACTTAATTTTGTTTTACTGTCGTAACTAAGCGCTTGCTTATTAAGTTTTGGTCAACTTATGGTTTAGAATGAAGGTGAATCACCTGTAACTTTCAAAAGAACCGGTACCAGTTACACAGGAGATTTAAAGCCTTCACAGTTTCACGTTAAACCAGTTTATCTAAGCGATAAAGGCCGTCGTACTATTGTTTCGCCCCGTGAAGAAGGAGAGGCTTATTCAGATGATGAAAATGATTCTGGTATGCCACCAGTTGATTCAAAGCGTGAATATAACAGCAAACAAATAACTCATTTTGATAAAGAAGAGGGTGAGGCATCTAGTGAAGAGGACCGACGTTATGAGAATTCAAAGCGGGAAAAATCAGGTTCCAGTAAATATCCTCCAGGGAACACAAATTTGACACTTGAGGAACATCAATATCGGAACCGTTTACATGAAAGATATGAACGACGTGAGCGTGAGAAGAAGAGAATACGCGATAACATAGATCCAGAGTCAATGCATGGGTCGAACCAACATGGACGTCCATTATATTACAAAGAAAATTCTACCTCCAGCAGTGAAAGAGAAGGTATCCACTCTAATCCAAAAGTGGAAGACTCAGAAGTTAATCGGAAGTATCAGTCTTCGAAACAATCGGATTCAAAGCAGAGAGGTAATCGTAATTACAGCTAAAATGCTTTTGTTTAAAATTTCCTTTAAAATAATGGTTTACAGAATTTAGGATGTATTTTCAGATTTATGCCCACCCACTGCGTAACCCGATATGGGTTGATATAATATGAATGAGTTAGAGGTCTATGGGATAGTCAAACCAGGATGTTTCACTAATTCATGAAATCCTTGACTCTTGGTCTGAAATCTATCTTAAGGTTGAGATATTCTAGATCACAGTGTTTGGGCAATAACTGCAATCAATCATTAGAGATGTTAGGTGACACTACTGGAAAGCATTTTCAGTAGAGCAGCTGTATTCATTCGTCATAAAATCAACAAGATGAGTTATGAAAGGAACTGAATGAAAAGTACTAAGACTTTTAAATTTATTAGGATGTAATGAGTAACTACATCTGAGTTACAGTTATCAACTTGTGGCTATATCATTTGTGGTTTCTACCGGTTGGTTCCTATCATCTTGAAAACTAAGAACTCTGCGTACCTCTAGACTTCTCGGATCAGCGGTAAGTGCCTCCAGACTAGTGTTATGTTCTGGTTCATCCGACCTTACTAGCTTCAGTGAACAAAAAACAAATAATGTTAGATACAGGTTATTATGTTTATGTTACAAAATCTGATAGATATATTGTAGATCAGATCTGTTATCTGTTTGTGTTTTACCTGTTAACTGTACTTAGGATTCTGTTATTTCTACATTGTTTTTTCTTTAGATCGTATATTAGTGTCTACGGTTAATCAAACATTAGAAAAGTCACCTCAAGACAATCGACAATACAAAACAGCTTTACAAGTAGAACGCGAGGAATATGTGCTAAAATATGGTCAAAATCAATCAAGTTGTGTTACTGTAACTGATAGAATTATTGAATCGCAAACTATTTATACAGATGAACTAAATCCTTCACAATCAGAGATAAATCGTAAATCGAAATCTAAAAAATCTAAACGTGATCGGAAAGAAAAAGAGCAGAAGATGACATCAAAAAGTCGAGAGGTGACAACATTAAAAGTTAAAAAGGAAAGTAAGCAACGAAAAATTCAATCTGGTAATAGTAGTAGTCATTTAGACTATAATACTTGGGAGTCAATTCAAAAATATACCAAACTTCCAGATCGTCATCATGGACCTCTCCAACATAGTCATTCAGGTTCATTAGATTCCATATCTTCCGCTTCATCTCAACTGAGTAAAGTTTCTGCATACACTGGTTGTTCATCACACTCATCACCTTTGGGATATCGTAAGTCATCAACATCATTAACAAGTGGTCAACAACTTCGACGCTCTTCTCAATCACCCAATGATCTTGATGAATCATATACCTATTCTAAGAAACGTTATCATCGTGAAGCTAGAGAAACTGCTCCACCACCTGAATCTACACGTCATTATATTGGTCCAAATCAAATATCGGTAAAAATGAAACATAAGCGTAAAGGTGACAAACATGAAACATCTGAAAGTATTAATTATGGAGTAAATTTGGCTAGTAAACGTGAAAAACTATCACAAGACAATGAAAATCATGAATTACAAATAGAAGATTCACATACACACTCAATCACTGGACGCACCAAAAGTAAAATGTCAAAATCTCTTGGAACAGAATCTAGTAAACACAAAAAACACTCATCTAAGAGTTCAAAAATGAAAAACAATCGATCAACAATGAGAAAGATATCATCCACTTCAAAACTGGAAGGAGACTATGAACAAAGTAGTCGCAATCTCTATAAGTTAGTAGTAAATAAACCCGAAGGTGGTGAACAGTATTCAGAAGAAAGTGACTCAGATCCACACAATATCAATGATAATAGCAATAGTCGACGAAATAACCATGAAATTAGTTATAACAAGATAGCAGATATTGATATCAATGAGAAAGCTGGTGGAAAATCTAAAGAAATGAATGTATTATTTCCTGCTGGAAATAAAATAATTGGGAATGATATAAAAGGTGAATTTAATAGACTACCACCTCCTCCGCGTTATCCGGGCTATTCAGAATCTTCATCTGAATGTGAAGAAAGTGGAGTACCCGATAATGGTTTTTTGGATGATGATGATGACGATGTCAATAATCATAAACTTGATGATGTTGAACTTCATAAAGACGATGATGTTGTTAATGATGATGAAATCAGTTCCTTTAAGAACAAACCACCTGGGAAGCCATTCTATTTCCCATCTATACAAGTAAGGGTAAAAATTTTTATTTTTTATATGTATTAAATAGTGATTATGTATTTATTTTCTACATTGAGTAATTAACAATATCATACTTGTCTGATTCCCAACACTGATTTAATTCCATTGATCAAGTTCCAATGTGGTCATTAGTCTGAGTGATTCTTTATAGCGTCCACCATGTTCTGATGTTTGTATTAGAGACAGGCATTAAGAAACCCTAAACTGAAGTTTGATGCTAGTTGGCACTGGAATCTTTGTGGAACTGGTACTCATGAAATTCAAATCCTCCTCATTGAGTGTCTTTATACGAAACACAGTTACATCGTTGTAAAATGCCTAAAATCGACATTGGAGAATAACATGTAATGAACTAATCGTTAATAGAACATATTTTTCATTGGAGCAGTGGTTGTGGAAATTTTTGAATTTTCGTTGAAAACCTGAAAGTACTAGACATCTGTTCCGACTTAGTATAGGACACCTCACCAATGCACATCCACAATCTTTCCGTCGGTGATCGAACTCATTACTTTCGGTTGCGCTCACGAACACTCTAACCTCTAGACAACTTAGCCATTGGATCTGGACTCATAAAATAATAATATTGTACATAGTCACGATTATGTTACGAGTAAGGAGGTAGAAATACATATAGTAGGTGAATTACTAGATGTCATACTAATGAGATACACATGAGCATTTTCATAGTTGAAAGTAATATTGAAACCTTAATCTGCATCTTTGTTAGAGATACAGCTAATTGATTTGATCACTTGTTTTTTCAACGCCTCACCTATTGGTTAGTATCAATAATTTCATCGCTGTTGTTAATTTTAACTTCTGGGTATAATCATGGACGTATATCCATAAAATGCAGTAAGCTAAATCACTTCTCCATCCCTCCCATTAATCCTCTCCTTAGATTTTTGATCCATACCATAATCTATGTCTCTTTGATTGTCTTTCTCGTTTGATCTTTTTTAGGGTTGTAGATCAGTAGAAGAATTTGAATGTCTCAATCGTATTGAAGAAGGCACTTATGGTGTTGTCTATCGAGCACGTGATAAAAAAGTGAATGAAATTGTTGCATTGAAACGTTTAAAAATGGAGAAAGAACGTGATGGCTTCCCAATTACATCATTACGTGAAATCAATATGTTAATGAAAGCTCAACATGAAAACATTGTTACTGTACGTGAAGTAGTAGTTGGCAGTAATATGGATAAAATCTATTTAGTTATGGATTATGTTGAACATGATTTAAAATCATTAATGGAGGTAAGCAGGTGGTTCGGTTATTGCTTTTGTTTTTTTTCTGGTTAGCGATTTTTTAGCGAGTTAGTTTTCTACGGGATGTGGTCGCTAACCCCATGCCCAACCCTCCTCCTTTATCCGGGCTTGGGACGGGCAGTAGCCCCAGAGGGGCTCCAGGCGGAGTTTTGTGTTCTTTTACGTAGTATAATTTCATATTTAAAATTACCGACTGTTCTTAGCTTAACTCATTGGAAGTTGATAACCACTTGACGACTGTTTCGTCCTAGCATGACACTACTCAGAAGTGCGCATCTTCAAACCGGCTGGATATCGAACTTAGGACTTCAGGTCTCTCAGCGAGCTCTCTATCTTTCGATCACTGATTCAGAATCAAGTGATTTTAATTCTTAACTTCAATCGATTTGGGATATTACAATCGAATAATCCAATCCAGCTGGTAGATACTTGCTGCTTGTCTAAGATAATTTTACTCTTATGAATACGGTCTCTTACTAGAGCTCCAGGAATCGCCTCGGAATCGGTCACTAGCGAGCACACAATTATTATTAGTTGCATAATTCATTCATACAGCTTTTTTATTTCATGTTGCACATTGACTAGGTATATGTTATGTTTACTTGACTGTGAACGAAATCATTTGTGTTAAAAGTTAGGGACACTAGTACTTGGTTGCTTAAACCGAAGTAAGTAAACCGTATCTGTGAATTATCATTTGAAAGCTGACTGCTTTAATCAATTGGCCACCGCTCTAGAATTTAAACATGTAATAATAAATATCGTTTACTATCTGTAAAAGTTTTTTTCTTAATGAGTTCTAGTTGGCTAGAACTCTTCAAATGAACCAATCTTTGATCACCGGCTACCATGGGACTGCATCTCTTTAAGAAAACCACCTATTTTGGTTTGGGCACCCGAGCAGTACCACAGTCCTCACACAAATCAAATGAGAGTTTTGTGGCTTTTATGTATCTGGTGCCCCCCTCCCCCTTGTACCAGTATTTATGTGTTCAAATAAATAAATAAGTATCTAATCCAGTTGTGGATTGCAGTTCAAAGGATAAGAAAGGTTATTAATTATCAAATGGGTTCTCACACTACAGAATTATTGGTATATGCTTTCAGTAAACTGACATAAACAAGATAGTTCCTCAACAGAATAGATTTTTTATGTAATAAAATGACATATTTGTTCACAAAATATTAACACAAAGTAAATACGATCAGATGTCACAATCGATTGGTTACTGTCAGTTTTTGAAGATCCCTAACTCTTTAATGAATTAAAGTCTTTTGTCCATGGATATTGTTTTCGTGTAGTTCAGACTGAATGCTTCTTTTTTTGTCCGGTTGGAAAATAAACGTCTACTTTCTTATATACACAGTACAATATTTAATCCATTCTTCTGTGTTTATAACTATCTAATTCTTTATTTACTCTTCTACAGATTATGAATGGTCCTTTCAGTGTTGGTGAAGTGAAATGTTTACTTGTACAGTTACTAAGAGCTGTTAGTCATCTACATGATAATTGGATATTACATCGAGATTTAAAAACTTCAAATCTTCTGTTAAGTCATCAAGGAATTTTAAAGGTGAGTTATCATTATTGTTTAAGTAAATTGTCCAATTTGTTCATTAGTAGTTATTCGAAACACTTTCTTTTACTGATTGAATGAAAATGTAAAATACATCTATTTTTAACATGTTCGGTACTACTGATATAAACAACATATTTCTGTAATCTTGAAACATTTCATATATCTTCCGAGCGAGAGATTTGACGTCGTTAAAATCATTTTGTCCCAGACTAGCACCACTTAAAGAATGCTATTGGGAATACCGTTTAGTAATAGTGGAGAAGATTTGTAGCTTAGGTGGATGATTTTGATGGAGTTTTGTTCTCTGGGCTGGATGGTTTGGTCGTGGAGCTTTCATCGTTCTTCTGAACGACATCATCAGCACAAACTTCAGGTAGATCTCTACCTATCCAGCTCAGAGAACGAAAACTTCATCAAAACCGTTTAGTCTTTATCTGAGACTCCGCAGAAGTGCACCAATGCTTGAATCTAGTACCTGTAGAACTCTGTACAAGCGTATAACTTTTAGACTATTGAAAGTTGGAACTCAATCTTTCATTTTTACTATTTTGATCGCTTTGTGTTCATTTCGAGACAATAATTTTATTCCATGGCCTACTAAACGACGCATTTGGATACGTTACCAAAAAAGGAGTTTTAGAACTTTGCCTATTGACTATCTCCTGTCATTTATTATCAACCTTAATTTAGTCTATTCGTGTAAATTACTCAGCCTAAGGATTAGATCATAAACTTGACCAGTTGATCTTACTTGACATTGATCTTGACTATAGTCAAGATATGGATTAGTGTAGAAATTGTTAGTTTTAATTTTTGAAAACCTCATTGTTATTTCATTTTATTTTTTTTGCATGTCGATTACTGTAGGTAGGAGATTTCGGCTTGGCTCGTGAATATGGCTCTCCATTGAAACATTATACAGAAGTTGTTGTCACCTTATGGTATCGAGCACCGGAGCTGTTACTAGGTAGTTTTAATTGCTGTTTTTTTTTCTCGTTTGTTATTTTTAAATCTTAATCAATAGATTTAATCAATAATTGGTATACTAATTCACGAAGCAGTCGGTGTTTGGGCATAGGTAACACATGTTGAGATGGCTGAAACATGTGTTACGTATGCCCAAACACAGACTGCCCCGACGTGTGGTGTTTTATGGTGTAGGAGTAGGTTGGAAGAAAGCTAGGGGCGGCCAGAACAAAACATGGCACAAATCCATGAAGTCACTGACAAGTGGACTGAGCCATATTGGTAGGTGTAGGCTACCTAGTTGGGATCCGCGAGATGATAATAACAACCAATGGTTAGAGACCTTGAACGACATGGCTCAAAATCGTTTGCAATGGTGTGCGCAGATGCATCCACTCTTTGTGTTCACCCAAATTCTATTCCTCTGAATTCTTCATGTCCCTTTTTCTGTCTTTCTAAATTTATTTCACTGTATTATACTCCTTGAATAACATCTTCAAACCCTAATGTTTCCGATCACTGCTTATATTTTTACTACCTCTACCACAATGGGATTTGAATGGACAATTGTATCAGTGTGGTAATGTGGTATGGCAACTTGAACTGATGTACGTACGTACGAAGTTCTACGTTGTTGCAGACTGACTGA